AAAGTTTTCTAGACACTTAATGTTTAGAAACTGTCTTAATGGACACCACAGTTGTAAGCAACCAAACCAGCTCTGGGAGTTTTAAGATCAGAGTAATATATGTCTGGGTTTCTTCTGGCCTCTCAGACCAAAACGGAGGGGTTTTTTGGTTTTGTTTTTATTAAAAGCAACCCCTACTTACATTGGATTGATGAGTCTTCCAGTCCACTTGCTCCTGAATTACATCAGAGAATCACTGACTACTCCAGGAGTCCCAACCCTCCCCACACCTTTGGAGGACATTTTTCCTCTCTTCCCTAAACTCCAGGTGCATCCAGCTGCCTACTTGCGCTCTCTCTCTCCTTGGACGTCTGATGAATGTCTCAAACCTCTCTGCCTCTTCCCCACGGCCAGGCCCTGTGTTAGACGTCTAGTGCTCACCCATGTCTGGTGTCCCTCTCTTTCTGGACTCCTCTCTTTCTAGACTCTGAGAGGTTAAACCTCTCAACTTCAGTGTCATTAGGTGAGGTGACCCCTTCTAGTTCGGGGGCTGCAGGGGTGGTGGCATGTATCGCTTCCAAGCTAAACCCTCTAGTTGCTGGTGTGAGGCCATGTAGCACTCTTCATGTGGTACCCCTCTAGGATTCCCTAATAAAGACCCTTCTTGGAAGACCTGGACTAACCCATAGGGTTATCTTCGAAAGATGCTTTTTAGGGCACCTGGGTGGCTCCATTGGTGAAGCGTCCAAATCTTGATTTCAGTTATGTCTTAATTTTAGGGTCATGAGTTCAAGTCCCACACTGGGCTCCATGCTGGGTGTGGAGCCTACTTAAAAAAAAAAAAAAAAAAAAAAAACTTTTTGCGGGGAATACCACTCCTTTACATAAACCAATCATAGATCAAGCCTAAAGTTCTGTGTCTGGCTTTTAATAATTTGAGCCTCCAAGGGGTCTATCCTTGTTAACCATGTCATCCCCTAGCCTTCCCATCCACATGGACTTGTTCAGAGGATTGATTCCACTTCCTGAGAGTACCGTGCACAGGTTTCAGCTTCCTTTTTTGGTCTACACCTCATCCATACCTTCTTCTCCTTGATGGTGTATTTTTGCCCCCTGGGAGGGAGAGGATACTCTCTCCATCTTGGTCCATTCTTTCTCCACCAAACCAGTCTCCAAAGCTGTGAATAACCACAGAATGAACATGGCATTTCTAAAACATTTACTGACTTAACATGCTTGATTCTAAAAGGTATTTGATCGTTTTTTACTGATGTTAAATCTGGATTTGGATGTAAAATAGAGGAGGTATCCCTATTACAACTTTCCCCTACCCTTGAGGAAATGAAGTACAAGCAACCAGGGTAGGAATAATCTCTTATTCCTGAAGGAGAGTACTCATTACTTAACAGAATTAGTTACCCAAATGCTTTATTGGTCATCTTTAATGAGTTTGGGATTAATGGGCAAATAATGGATTAGATTTTGCTTTACTCATTTCTCAGTATATCTCTCTTCATATGGATTATTTTCCCATTTAGAATATGTCAATAAGTTTAAATCATATATATGAGCAAATCTAACAAGACCATAAAATTCAGACCAAAAAAGCATTAGTTTTCATAACTTAATCACAGTCGTTATCATAGAGTGAACCATCTAAGAAATAGAATCAATTTTATGTCAATGAAAATGTCAAAATCCCTCCAGATCTAAAAGAGGGGAAGAGTGGGTTTCTTTTTTCTTTTAATAGAATAATCCTAAGACCTAAAATGATTTGGAGCATGTATTTACAATTAAATGCAATCAAAACTTAAATCTCACTTCAGTCTTTTCTGTTCTGGAAGAAAAAGTGAAAGGGTAGAAAGAGGAAGTGAATCTCCTTTATATCCTACTTTTTGCTTAGCAAATAATATAGAAGGACATTTTATCCACTACTCAAATTTAAGCCCAGAATACTCTGTTAAGTACTCTGTTAAGGTTACTCTGTTAAGGATATCCTTAAGTTAAGGATACTCTGTTAAGCATATCCTGTGATTAAAAAAAGGAAGCATTAAAAAGATTAAACATCATCATGTGTTGAGTCTCATGACCAGTTTTGATGGTTGTTATCCTGGAAGCCAGTACAGTGTTCTTTCTCATTATGTTAAATGTCCTTTAGAGACTGGAATCCTACTTGATAATGAGTTTATGAATGGATGCAGCTGTAACCCTTCCCTCCCAAACCTGGCCCTTCCCTAGAGGCATATTAATATATTGGTGGATGAGAAGCATATTAAGCCTTGTAGTACTATTTGACTTTTTCCATGAAGAACAAATTTATTTTGATAAAAACTACATTTCAAAAGGTTTGTTAAATCATTTTTTAAAGATTTTATTTATTTATTTGAGAGAGAAAGAACACAGATGGGGGAGCCCCAGAGGGAGAGAGAGAAGCTGGCTCCCCACTGAGCAGGGAGCCTGATGTGGGGGTTGATGCCAGGACCCCAGGATCATGACCTGGGGTGAAGGCAGAGACTTCACTGACTAAGCCACCGAGGCGCTCTGAAAAGAGTTTTTAAAGCATAGACTGAGGCCAGGGCTGCAAGTATATGTAAGGGGACTAGGGGAGTTTTCCCTGCCAAGCCCTTGAGGTTATGTCTGTATATCCCACCTCACCAGTTACTTCTCATTTGGTATTTATGCAAAGGTGATGTTTTATGCATGAATATTGCTAACGTTGGAACAGCATAAGGATTAGGTTCAAGACTTCTAGCTACTTCAAGACTTCCCCCATTTTGCTATTAGGGCATATGGGATATACAGTATTGATGAGGCATTAGATGTCTTTGACTTCCATGTTTTGTCTTATACCCTGGACCTAGACTCATTTCTGGTAGGCTTGTCCAGGAAATATTTTCGAATTGGCAGCAGCACTGCTCACTTGAAAACCTTTTCATCATGGGTGTTTTGTGTCAGGAAGTAGAGACCATAAACTGCAAGGTACGGCAGATTGCTTAATCAAAATATATGGACACTCAGACCCAGAATGAGACAAAGGAGAGAACCAGGACCTGAGGTTATGCAATGCCAGAAGCTGGAAAGATAATTCTCTGCTGATCAAAAAGAAAAAAAAAAAAAAGTTTTGCATCTAAATGAAATATTAAGGACTGGAGAAATGACTACCTGTTTGTCATGAGAAATGCATCCAGACTTACAACTGCAAACTTTAATAGGTTTTGTTTGTTAAAGATTTAGGACAAGAGGGGCGCCTGGGTGGCTCAGTTGGTTACGCCACCACCTTCGGCTCAGGTCATGATTCCAGGGTTCTGGGATCAGGTCCCAAGTTGGGCTCCCTGCACACAGGGAGTCTGCTTCTCCCTCTGACCCTCTGCCCTTTCATTCTCTCTCTCTCTCTCTCCAATAAGTAAGATCTTTAAATAAAATTTAAAAATAAGTTTAAAAAAAAAAAAAAGATTTAGGCCAAGAGGAATTGTTGATAATGAGAGACAAAGGTCTGAAAAGGAAAGCAATCATTGGGCTTGTATTTAATCACTTTGTATTTTCTCAGACCTCAGTCATGTCATTATCTGGCTGTGGTGCTTACAGAACTTAATTAGGGGAGTTCAGGCAGCAATGGGAATAGGAGGCCAAAATGAAAGGGTAACAATTTAAACAGATTGCCAGCAGATGCCTGGTATGGATGGAGAGGAAGCCATTTAAGAACCTAATTGGAGAAGAAGCTCTTGACATTGATCATTTGTGAAAAGGAGGTGTTTTTTTTTTTTTTCTTGTACACGTGGTTTTGTACACTTATGTCTACAGACCTTCAGCACTGGTAGGTCTGATCATCATCTTGTGGAATTACTAACACCAAGCCACTTTGAAAGAGCAGACAAGGTTATTAACTTTGGCAGGAAATGAAAATTTGGCCTTAATATACATGTGAAATTGAATTGTCTGTGGCACAAAGCTTTGGAGATTACCCATGCAAAATGAGAAAACTATCTAAATTTAAAACTGTCCTCAGTGCAGTGAAAAGTAATTTTGCAGACTGCATTTTTACTGCACTGAAATCCATGAAGAGATGGGCTCTATTAATTTAGATTTAAACAGAGGCTCTGTATCTTCTAAAAATGGTAAATGAGATGGAAAATGTACTTTAAGGGGAGAAATGAGTTTCCGGAAATGCTGCCGGCAGGCAGGTTCCCTACTCCACATCTTTGAGTCTGCCCTGAGACCAGTCAGCTTCAGAGGGAAGGCTCGATCTACTGTGACAGCCATTCCGAATAAGGACATTCAGACAACACCTCAATTATATGTATTTAGCAGGCTTCAAGAGCAGGATAAGAAGCAAATCAAGTACAGCCCAAAGCAAAAGTCATTGGCAGTTTTTACAATATAATTCCTAAAGTGTCTGGGTCCCTGGCAGAGAAAAAAAAATAAGGAGGAATTTAATTTATTTTCTCAGATCTCACATAACTTAGTAGTTCTCTTATAATCTGCCTGGAATGATACTGGAGTAGGGAATTTGGTTACTCTACCTACCTTCTAACTCAAAAACTTAACTTCTTTATAAGGAGAAGTTGAGTTTTGCACTCCCCAGACTTTACATTTTTTTTTCAGCTCACAAAAACAAATATTACTTGTTTGTTAAGTAAATGATTATTTGTTAAATAAACAGGTGACTGTTTAGAACCATGGTTTTCGTCACCTGTCATGTAACCATCAAGAATAATCCATTAACACACAATAGAGTGGGACAAGGATTAATAATAAACTTCCGTTAGAGTTCTCCCAGGGCCCCAGAGTGCCCGTTATTTATGGTTGTAATGATGAAGAAGAGCAAGTGCCTACGTCTGCTTCCTGGAGCCACTTGGTAACGAGGCTGTGTCTAGAACGAAAGTCATCCGAACTTCCGATAGTTTACGTTTGTGTTACTTACTGTTTATCAACAATCAACACTGCTGAGTTGGCAGCAAACCAAACTAATACAGTCAACAGCCCGTTCCTCATCTTTACGTTATTTTCTTTTTGCTTCTCAGGTATCGCTCTGCTTTACTCACATCTCTATGATGTGTTCGGGGACCCCGCTTACCTCCAGATGGCACATGGCTATGTAAAGCAAAGTCTGGACAGTCTGAGCAAGCGTTCCATCACCTTCCTCTGCGGGGACGCAGGCCCCCTGGCTGTGGGTGCTGTAGTGTGCCACAAGATGAACAATGAGAAGCAGGCAGAAGACTGCATCACCCGGTAATCATGTATCTTTTTGACGATTACTATCTAGACATCATCTCATATTCATTCTGCTTGTGTTAGCAAAAAGAACATTTTAGTGAAGTTACTTTCCCCTCAGCAATCGGTCTTACTACTGTCATTTGCTCACATCACACATCATTCCAAGGTAGTTAAGGAACAACCATTATAGTCCCTATTATATTGTAAGATGTCATGACACTGACACACACCAGATCAGACATCAGTTTAATAACAAAAATGAGATCAGAAGCCTAATCCTGGGATTACTAATCCAAGGTACTGTTATCCAAGATCAGTAATTTGAAAAATGTGGTTCATTTCCTGTGATGGGCTGGGGGAGACCCCGTCCTGGACTACAAATGATTCAAAATTGTTTTTCCCACGGGCAAATAACATGCAAATCCAAAAATTTATTTTTAATAGAGATCGGGTCAGCCCACTAGAAGCTTGTGAATTATGAAGAATTACTAAACTTGCGTACTAATAAACTACAATTATTATTTTACTAGAGTTTATTGAGCACGAAGAACTCTGTTAAGAAATCTGGCAGCCATGCAACTCTGTACGCAGGGCTGTTGGGCTCCCACTGAGCGTGTCCACACGCAGAGACTTTCAATTCCAACAAAGGTTTCTGGCTGTGTTTTGTTGCTTCATGGACGTTACTTTTTAGAGAAATTTTCAGTTCGCAGAAAAATTGAGAGGCAGGTATAGAGATTTCTCATATACCCACTCCCCTCCACACATGCCTAGCCTCCCCCAGTATCAGCATTCCCCACTGGAGTGGTACACTTGTTACAGAGGATGGGCATTCACTGACCTATCATTATCACCCAGAGTCCATAGTGTATATTAGTTACATTAGTTACATCTTGGTGCTGTGCATTCCTTGGATTTGGATAAATGCATAATGACATGTATCCATCATTATATTATCATATGGGATAGTTCTCTGCCCCCAAAATTCATTGTGCTGCGCCTGCTAATTCCTCCCCTGCTCCCTGACCCCTGGCAACTGTTGGTCATTTTACTGTCTCCGTAGTTTTGCCTTTTCCAGAATAGTTGGAAACATTACAATATGTAGTCTTTTCAGATTGGTTTCTTTCACTGAGTAATATGTGTTTAAGGCCCCTCCATGTCTTTTCATGGTATGATAGCTCATTCTTTTTAGCACTGAGTAATATTCCATTGTCTGGATATACCATAGTTTATCCATTCACCTACTGGCATTTATGAAGAAAGCTAATGTGAACATCCAGTTCTGAGGGCTTTTTGTAGACATTTACGGCTCCTTTGGGTAATTATCAAGGAGCACAATTGCTGGATCATGTTACAAGAGTACGTTTAGTTTCGTAAGAATTGCCAAACTGTCTTCTGAAGTGGTTGTACCATTTTGCATTCCTGCTAGCAATGAATGAAAGTTTCTCGTGCTCCACATCCTTGCCAGGGTTGCAGATTTTGGCCATTCTAGTAGATGTGTAGTGGTATCTCGTTTTAATTTGGATTTCCCTGATGACGAATGACTTGGAGCATCTTTTTATATATTCCTTGCCATCAGTATTGCTTCTTTGGTGAAGTGTCTGTTAAGGTCTTTCACCCATTTTTTAATTGAGTCCGGCAACATTTTAATCAGTGATTGTCTCCATGGTTTTGATTTGACCATGGTTTTTGATTCCCACTACTTTTTCTTACAAATTACTATTAGAATGGCATTTTCATCACTGATTTTGTTTGTGGAGGACCTTTGGTTAATTTTATACTGTGCAGTGGTGTGTATTTCATTAACAGATTTTGGTCTAAAATTCTAATAACTATAGTTTTTTCTCCCACTCCAAATTTTATTATGAAAAATTTCAAACATACAGAAATGTTGAAACGACAGTGAATACGTATATATCTACCCACATAGATTCTACCACTATCATTTTCCTATACTTGCTTTATCGTGTATCTAATCATCTATCCATTATTAACCCTTTTGGGGGAAGGGATGCATTTCAGAGTGAATTGCAGACATCAGTACCCTTCCTTCTAAATATTAAAGCATGTATATCATTTACTAGAGTTCAGTATCTGTTTAGTTTTCTTCTTTTGACGTAAAGTTTACACACAATGAGCTGTCCAGGTTTTATATTTGTTGAGCTTTGACAAATGCATATACCATCTAAATTTGCAGCACAGAAGCTACCTTTCTGTTTCTTCGCAGCCAGTTTAAAACCATTAGCCACACATCTGCTTTAGAGGCTCAGAAGGAAGTCTTATTCATTGAGTCGCTCTTAAGTATCAAAAATAAGCCCATCGTGGTCCCAATGTTTTATATGTAATACCAGCCTTTCTCAGCTTGTATATAGCCAGATAGTAATAGTTAGCTGTGTGAAAAATGAAAACAAGATTTGTGTATTCAGATTGGGGAAATACTACTTAGCAAGAGTTAAATATACACCTTTACTGGCTGCTCAGAACCTTCACCAGCTTTTGGTACATGGGGAAAAGTCCAGCGACTCTAGGGAGTGGAATTTTCCAGACTTGTCAAGTAGACAGCCTTTTTCCTCATGACATTTTAGGGCCTACTGTTGTAAGAAACCACCTTTGGGGCATAGTACCATATGTTAATATTGGTTTATTATAAAATACTCTTAAAAGTAAACTAAAATTTTTTTGATACCTTGATAATAAAAGTTTTTGTTATTTATATCTTTTTAAACACTTTTACAGTGTTTCACCAGTATTTTATTTATAGCCAGTAGATTTGTTAAGATTAAGCACATAGAATACAGATAATGAGAGGAAAATAGGCCGTTTATGGCCACAGTTTTGATTTTTCAGATTTCTAGAGTTCATGGCAGAACAGGAAGAGTAAAGGAATTACGTGTAAATTGCTTTCACAACGCCTCCCTTTTAAGGGAAAAATCTCTAAGTCTTTGCAACTCAATTGAAATGATTTGATGTCATCAGATAGTTAATAAACCTACTTGGTGGTTTGATTTTTTACTGAACCTTCTCTCTCGTATCACATAGGCCTTTGGAGCTATCAGAGACCCCCAATTCTGTATGTGGCATCTGTGTTGTGCTCCACCACCAACGTCATTTTTCAGCTTACTTTTCCTATGGTTTCTTAATAGAGTAGTCTTTCAGATTCCTCATTTCGAGTTTTAGAGATCAAAGAGGTCAATGTTTCCCTAAGGTTGGGATTCTTAGTTTGGGACCCTGGGGATCGCAGGGCTTCTAAATGTATAAAATCCCCAAGTTGTACCCAGTATAGAGAGAACACTTACACGTTTTTGGAGGAGTCTGTGACTCCCCAAAAAGGAGTGTGCGTGCGTGCGTGTCTGTTCATACACGATACGTCCTGTAGATGGCTGGGGCCGGCGGCAAGGAAGAGAATGAAGCACTAATTTTTCCTGCCGTTTGACCTCCGCCGTGTTCGTTTTCACCTTCCTTCTGCACAGAGAGAGGTGGTGCCACTACTCAGAGAGCGTGGCCTATTTACAGCCCCCGCTAAGTCACCGACCCGACAGATCGAGTGCTGCGGGGCCGCTGTGCAGAATGACGAAGAGCTGTCTTTCGGTCAGAAAATGTCGAGCGTCCGCACACTCTCTTGTAGTGTGATGAGTAAGAAAAGGACTTCTTACCAAAAGTTACACATTTTTAGATGATACAAGGTAAAAACTCCCCTCCACAGTAACACCCTGGGGAATTACTGCTAGGAGTGGAAGAGAACTGTCCTGATTGGATAGGTCTCCATTCTTTCTTCAGTGACCTTCCAATGTCCTGTCCCTTCGGAAGATTGGTTGCTGTTAATACCAGCGCGGCCAAACAAACGGAGCTGCAGCGATGTGCTTCTGGGTTTGAGAGTTTTTGAAAACACATAAAAGAACCGCTATGATACACAAATGCTATCATTTCTTCACTTTATCTTGAGACTATAGCATTTAAAACCTGCATTTTGAAGTCCCACCTTTTAGGAATCATCAGATCCAGCTCAGGAGTTTTAATGACTTGAATTCAATTCCAGAAAAAAAGGGAATACTTCCTTTCTTACCCTAAACTGTAAAAATTTTATTTTAACAAGATGCTCTAAGCAATACTTCATTTTCAAGTATTTGAAAAGTATTTGCTATCTACTTGAAACTTCCCAGAAGCAAATGAGTTCGACTGCAAAATAATTGGAATGCTAATTATATATCGCCACCTAGGGGTAATAAGATCCATAGATTAGCAAATAAAGGAAATGTGGTTCAAGCACACTTAGGTGAGAACATCTTTGGAGTTCATGCAGTAATTGTTCCTTCCTTAGAGCCATTTGTTTAAAAAATTCACAGGAATTTTTCTTTTTGAATAATTTAATCCCTTTACAAAAGTAAAGTGCTTTTTTATATGTAAAATCTATGCAATTTGATAGATTTATGTTTAAACTTGATAATAAATTCTTAAATCAAAACTCTGAACTATTCCTTCTGTTTCCTACAACAGTTGAGTTCGTGTCTAGTAAAAAGACTTTCTTAACATCTCAACATTAAGGAGCTGCCATTTCCTGGCATGAAACAAAAATGGAATTTTTCTTCATAAATGTTTTTAAGGTCTTTAAAAATGTTAAGGGTGTGTGTATGTGTGTGACCACGTATGATATTGAAGTAAAAAACAAAATGGCCCATAATTCTACCATCCAGACAGCCTACTGACATTGGGGAAAAACTCAAAGTATACAAGAAAATGAAAAGTAACCTTTGGCCACCGTGTCCCTATTCCTAAGATAACCACTGTTCCACCGTGAGTTTAATGCTTATATTTATAGAAGAAAAACCATGTGTATTTAACCAATTTGATGAGATGCCTCCATTTGTTGAGGAATAATATAACTTTGTCAGTAACTGCAACCCGCCGTGCTTTTTCCCACCTGCTAACGTTTTTTTACTCTTCTTATCACCAAATCCTCTGGTGTAGATTTTGATAAAGTTATTTGAAGTGCCAGGTGCCTCTGAATGGTGATTCCTTATAAGAACACTTCAGATATAACCAGTCATCCCAGGGGTGTGATTTTGGATACTTCACGCATTTATCATAGGGTTTATATGCTTATAATTCCTAGTGCGTAAACTAAAGTTAGATGAACTACATGCACAGGCACTGTTTATACTTAACTACAGTGAAAGTAAATTACCACATAGACAACAAGAGTATTTTACAGCCAAATAATGGCTTCGTCATCAGGTAGTGTGTTTAGTGTCCTAAGCTACCTGATGAAAAAGCCATTATTTGGTAGTGCTGATTGTCCTCTCATTACTGCTCTTTTCCTGAAATTCTCTGGCTCTTCCCTCATAGTTTTCCAGTATGCTAGAGTCATTTTGTCAAGGCTCACCAAAAATTACATTGTTTTAGTAGCTTAAATGGTATTACATTGAATATGTAGGATAATTCAGACATAATTGGGATGTGCTTTCAAAATTTCGTATGATAAAAATCCAAATAACAAAGTCATTTTCCCTACTTACCATATTTGCTTTCATACACCCTCCCCACCCCACCCCCATCCTCAAAAAAGAAAAGTTGATTCTCTGAGTTTAGACTGCAAATATGGTTGCTTCCCTGACCTCATTTCCCTGTGAACCTCAACTGCTTTCTGGTTTCCTGGGGCTTCCATGTTGGTTCTCTGAGAAGAAATCTGGGGCTTTGGTTACCCCACTCTGCCAAGTATTCCCGCAGCTGTGCCTGTATTTCTGGGGCCAAATGATGGGGGAGCAAGAAAGAAGTGAAGCAGTGGGGGTTCACCCTACCCTTCTGGGACCACAGCTGCTCCAATCTGTGAGGAAGGGTCCCTCCCTCAGACTGGGCTTCTGTGGGCTCCTCACCTTCATTTCTGCTCCCACCAGGAGATTGCTTGTGGCCCAGGGTGTGTGAAAACAGAGAGAAGACAAGGAAACATAAAGAAAACTAAAGGCCTTTCTTTACCCACTCTCTCTGACACTAGGAATTCCCTTTCTCATTCTTTCTTGAGACAGAACTAAAGGGCTTCTTCCAGGACTGTCTCTTTCAGCCTTTGTTGCCCACTTCCAGGTTTGGGGCTGTTCTGAATTCAAGCCAGGAGAATACCATAAGTGAAAATATGGTAAACTCACCATGGTTTGGCGGTCCTTCAAATTCTGGTCTTCCCCACTCTGCCTGCTACTGTTCACGGTTTGGAGTCCTTACACAGCTGCTCTGTGCATTCTCTCCAGGTCTTAGAGCTGCGCTTACCAGGAGAGGCAGGCTGGGGTGTGCCTACACCAGCCGACCTGGAGCCAAAACCAGAAACAACTCTTTCTGAAAAGCTGAAATGAGTCTGTCATTAGAGAATTAATAAATTATAATATAGCCATTCAATGGAATACTATGCAGCTATGATAAAGAATGAGACTACTCTGGTATAGAATGTTTGTCAAGACGTATTGTTACACAGCAAGCCACAGAACATCTGGAGAGAGATTTTTATAGATGTGCATATTGTTGCTTACATGTGCATAAAGTAATCCTACGAGTGTCCAAGAATTTGGTAACCATGGTTATTTCGGAAAAGGAGGACTGGAAGGGGAAGACTAGGCAGACAGGGGAAGCTGACTGATACCTCTGTGCCATTTGCCTGTTTTAGGGTAGATCAGGCTGCCGTACAGACATTTCATGTAGGCCTAAGGGCACATTAAGAAATAAACCAAAGAAGGAGGTAACTGGGGTGCTGCAGGCTTTTCATTTTATGGAACCAGATGACCCGTTGAGTTGACGGAGTCGTTTCTCCACACTAAGTGCTGTACCGGGCAGCAGGTTTTAGTTCCTCTGACCCCTGCTGCTGGTCTTAGCGCACACCTCCAAGGAGCTAGGCCACACGTGCCTACTCGTAGTCTTCGAATTTGTCAGTTCCATTGTGACCTCAAGAAAAATGTGGTTGAGAGTTACTTTACCCTTTGCAGTCTGTCTCAGCCCACTTAATGTATGGAATATAATTTATAATACAAATGTATGAAAATATTTGCCTTTTACATATAAATTAATTTTAATATATTTAAAGTGTTTAACTGTAATAGTGGGGAGCCTTGGGTGGCTCAGTCGGTTAAGCGTCTGCCTTCGCCTCAGGTCATGATCCTGGGGTTCTGGGATCGAGCCCCACATCGGACTCCCTGCTCAGCAGGGAGTCTGTGTCTCCCTCTCCTTCTGCCACTTACCCCACTCCTGCTCTCTCTATCTATCTCTCTGTCTCAAATAAATAAAATCTTTAAAATAAAATCTTTAAAAAATAAAATAATAATTTAATGTGTAATACCTAAATATATATTTGGCGTGTATATATTTTTTAAATGTACCATTTCAAGTATCTCCCACGACCCAGTCCCTTCCAAGTTCTCTTAGACATGTATTTTTATTGCAAGGCTAATTCACATAAATAAGATTGACCTCCATGCTCCAGACGAACTGCTCTATGGACGAATGGGCTACGTCTATGCTCTTCTCTTTGTGAATAAGAACTTCGGCGTGGAAAAGATTCCTCAAAGCCATATTCAGCAGGTACCACATTTTTGTGCTTTTTGGAGTTTCGATAGGATCCCAGTTGTCATCTGCCTGAACTCTCGGTTTTGTTTCTCCAGTTAGCGTACCCCAGGTAGAAGGAAGGTGTGTGTTGGTTGCTAAAGGTCAGGTTGGGATCAGAGAGCTGACAGTGTCATGCTGAGTGCTGTTGGAAACACTTAGAGAGTGACTGGGAGCAAGAGGTCCAGCCTTCTCCGTTTGAGGATGTCCCGGCCCTTCGGAAGATGAGGGCCAGCTTTCACCTCTCAGGTGCGGATGTCTCCTTTCGTGCCTGAAGGAATTCATGCTTTCTCTGTCAAGTGAATTCTCACAAGCTCTAGTAAAGAGTTCAGAATTTCTGTATCTCCCTCTTTTAAACGGAATACAGGCACCCCTGCTTTCTGAGTGTGGAATTAAGCTGTGCCCGTCTATGGCCAGAAGATCCCGTCTGATTCACCATGTTCTCCATACCTCTTAGCAAAAATTCCTTACCTCCACCAGGAAGATTTTTATTTTGATCTCATTATTTGATTGGTTTTCTCCCTATAGATTTGTGAAACAGTCTTAACCTCTGGAGAAACCCTAGCCAGAAAGAGAAACTTCACAGCAAAGACTCCACTGATGTATGAGTGGTACCAAGAATATTACGTGGGGGCCGCTCATGGCCTGGCAGGAATTTATTACTACCTGATGCAGGTAAGAGGTGAAGATGATAAAACTGAGAAATGCGCTTGGTGACTCTCCTGGCCAGGGGGAGAACATCAGGGCTCCCCCTCTGGTTTTTCATTCTGTCTGCAATTTTCTGGCCTCGACAAACAAGGGCAATGTTTGCCAGAGTGCATTTTTAAGTGTATAAACATAAAAGGCACTGTGCCGTGGGATGATGTCTGATTTGTAGGTGACCGTACTTGTCTGCCTCGTGCCGCTTTGCAGATTGAAGTGTTTTGACCTATCCTTCTACATGAAGTGCCTTCTGCTCTGCTCTGCTCTGCTTTTTTAGCAAATGCCTTGAATTAATATTGTTGCATATTATTAGACACCACCCCGTGAAACAAATTCCAAAAGTAAGAACAAAATCAATAGAAAACAGCTGAGCATATGTTGCCTATGGCTCACTTGGAGAGCAAAATCACAGAGCCTTTTCAATGGATTTTGTGTAACTTACCTGAAAAATAGCTGAATGTGCTATACCCAGCCATTCTTTGGATCTAATACTCTTGGGAGACATCAGCTAAAGTCACACAGACTAAGGACAGTAGTAGGATTTACTGCAGCAAGCATAACCTGGTAGGGGAGGTCAGAAGAGGACTTCTCATGAGAGTATCATTTCCATTGGCTTATTTAGCTCTCTTTAAAGAGAAATTGGCACTCATGAATAAGAATTCATAGCAAAAGAAAATTGATTTTTAATGGAAGCAGAGGTGCCCCCTTCACCTTCCCAAAGTGCAATGCAGCATAAAGAAAAGTGTTTCATTAATATGTTCAACATGAGTGCTCGGATATACATACTATTAGCTGGTTGAGTAGCCGGCTGCAATAATGCAAAATCAATGTCAGACCTCCATCTCCCTATAACTAAACAATGACAACGAAGCTGAAAAACTCAAGGTTATTATTGCTTTTGAATGCAAAGTCACACTTTGAGTGTTAGTGGCAGTAAGAGACCAACTTTTGTATTTGTTCTGTACTTCTCAATTAGGAGTTTTATAATGAAGGGTTTTGACAATTCAAACATAGACTCCTTTATTTTTCTGTCATAAACCTCCACTGGCCCTGTATTTCCAGAAGTAAATACATATTCTTGAGTTTTCAGGAAAGGGGAGTTCATGTATTCTGCAGTTTCAAGGGGGCTGGGCAGCCTCATGACCTTGTATTGAAGCAGGTCATGAGGAGTCATCTTCCAGCTGCCTCCTTCTGGTGGCAGTGAGAAATCTGGAAACCTACGTTCTGAATTTTCCATTGGCAGATTGTTGTCTATTTGAGATGATTTAAGCATTAAAATTAAATAATTAAATTAATTATTAAATTAAATAATTAAAATTAAATAATAGTCCATTCCGGTAGGTACTTACATATCATAAACATAAATAAAAATATTAAACATAAAACATAGTATTATGTTTTATCCTAATATCTTAAACATAAAATATTATTTGTAGCCTGTTTTGGATAATTCCTGCAAATTTGAGGAAAATCCACTCATTCTGCTCTAGCATTTTAAACTGAGCTGAAACAGTACTCTCTGGGTAAAGTAAAATCTGTATATGCCCTGGAGAACTCAGTGCCCATTCAGTCCCCGTGCGTCACACCACGGGCTACCCCCTTACCCAACGTGCTCACCAGTCCCCCACCTGACAAGGCCAGTACTTTGAATTTGTTATTTGAAGAAGTAAGCTGTGCATTGAATTAAGTACTGGACCAAGAGGAGAAACTAAACCATTATATCAAAAATGGAGGCTCGAGGTGCCTGGGCGGTTCGGTTGGCTGTGTCTAGCTCTTGCTTTTGGCTCAGGTCGTGATCTCTTGTCGGGCTCTGCGCTCAGCCAGGAGTCTGCTTGAGATTCTCCCTCTCCCTCTGCCCCTACCCCTGTGCTTGCTCGCTCGCTGTCTCTCTCTCTCTCTCTCTCTCTCAAATAAATAAATAAATCTTAAAAAAAAAAAAGAGGACCAAATTCTTTAAACAATTTTAAAAATTGGCTCAAATGCCCATTAGTGCATCCTGTAAATCTGTACGTCATTATATAAAAATAATCCTGCACAAATGTTGGTCCCAAATCCTCTGCAGAAAGGCTTAATCTAGAATCACACAGTTTGGGATCTAGATTCCCGGTCTCCTGACTTACTAGCTTCCCGTTTTATTGGAAACATCTACCACTTCTCTAAACGTAAAAATGAAAGTTGTACTTATGTTGTTTAATGCATATCTTTGTGGCTTTTAAAGTATGATTGAGGTATTGAGGTATTTAAAGTATGATCTGGGTGGTTCAGTTGGTTAAGCATCTGACTCTTGATCTCAGCTCAGGTCTTGATTGTGAGTTCAAGCCCTGCATTAGGCTTCATGCTGGGTGTGGAGCCTATTGAAAAAAAAAAATTAAATAAAGTATGCCTAAGGTAGTAAAACCTTAGGAAACATCTCTTGTGCTCATGCATTGACTTGGGGAAATTATTTATATGTATGTATACAGTGAATAAATACTGAAAAATAATATGTACATAAAGTCCCAAGAATTAATGCATAGCCTAATTTTAGTACATTCCAATAGGTTAAAAAAAAAATTGGAGTGGAATCCAAAACCTTTTAATGACTTCTAGTTCCTGCTGATCATGTTTCCTTTCTGGCTTAACACTAATCCCAGAGGGCACCTGGGTGGCTCAGTTGGTTAAGCATCCGATTCTTGATTTCAGCTCAGGTCATGATCTCAGGGTCATGCGATCAAGCCCTGTGTTGGGGTCCGTGCTGGGTTGAAGTCTGCTTAGGATTAATTTTCTCTCTCCCTCTGTCTCTCCCACCCCCTCTCTCTGTCTCCCTCTCTTTAAAACACACACACACACACACACACACACACACACATACACACACACAACTTATCCCTGAGGTTTAGGAAGATCTCTTTGCTTTAGCAGAACTAATAATTCCCTTTCTCGTTTTTAGCCCAGCCTTCAAGTGAACCATGTGAAGTTACAAAATTTGGTCAAGCCCAGTGTAGATTATGTCTGCCAGCTGAAATTTCCTTCCGGCAATTATCCTCCTTGTGTGGATGATAATCGAGATCTTCTAGTCCATTGGTGTCACGGGTCACCTGGAGTGATCTACATGCTCATCCAGGCCTATAAGGTACTGTGAATTTTCTCATTTTCAAAATAAATTGGAAAATATAACCTAAAATTCTATAACTTAAAATTGTTTTTTATGCATAATCTTTAAAGGAGCAATAGATAAATTACTTGTTGGACCTACAATCACTTTGCTAAATGGATTATAATTCATTCTCATAGTATCCATCTGTATGAGGGCAGACACTACTTCATAGATCAGGAGACTGCTTCACTAACAGTGAATTGCTGATATTGCTGATCTTGTGCATTGCTGATAGGATTATAAAATGATGTGGCTGCCATAGAAGAGAGTTTGGTAGTTCCTCAAAAAATAAACATAGAATTAATATGTGATTTAGCAATTCAACTCCAAGGTATATATACCCAAAAAATTAAACACAAGGATTTATATAGATGTTACACGGATGTTGACAGCAGCATTGCTCACAGTGGCCAAAAGGTGTAAACAGTTCAGGTGTCCATGCACAGATGAATGGGTAGACAAAAAGTGGTGTGTGTCCATATACATATCTACAGGGAATATTATTGAGCCGTACGAAAGAAGGAACTTCTGACCCATACTGCAACATGCATGAACCTTGGAAATAGTATGTTAAGTGAAATAAACCAGGTGCTAAAGGACAAATAATGTATGATTCCATTTATATGGTGTGATGGTTAGTATGAGGATGTAAAGTAGGCGAATTCATACAGAATGTAGAAGAGAAGTTACCAGGGATTGGTGCTGGGGTGGGAGTGCATTATCATTTAATGGGTAATTACATTTCATCACTCCAAATAGGGGTGATGAAAATGTTCTGGAAATAGTGGTAATGATTATACAAAATTGTGAAGGTAATGAATGCCACTGAATTATACACGTCAAGTGATGAAAATTATAATTTTTATATTTTCTTTATTTTATTATAACAAGAGAAATGCAAATATTGTTTCTAAAAAGCATGCTATGGCAGAGCATAATCCGAGAAGAAAAAGGTTTTATTTGAAAGAAAAAAAAAAAATAGAAGTAAACCAAGATATCTGTGTCCATTAGTGCCAGATCTACAAATTACAAATCTCTGAACTATAAACAAGCATTGGCATGTCATATTCTAAATAAGCTTTTAGTATATCAAATTTTACTTGCAGTAAGTTGGATATAATAGAAAAACTTTTTAAACTGTCTCATTCTCCTTTTAAGAATACTTAGTTTGCAATGAGATATTAGAAATGTCTACTCAGAATATTTCTTGAGTCTGATCAATATAGAAGATTATAAAGGTATAGCTCTATTTTTCTGACAAAGTATAGTATGTTATAATCAAATTCAATTTTGTAATCAATTTTCTAAACAGTTTCTTCTCCAGTTTGTAAAGAAATGTCCTAATGGTGAAGGGCATGATTGTTAACCAGAGAAGATAACATGTGGTCCTTTGGAAAGTAACTAATGATAATAGCAAGTCACAAGTAAAATAATGCTACTTCTCCAGTAACACCTAGATCTGTAAGCACAGACTGCCCGTAAAATGTAGATGGCACAGGCAAGGTCGTGTGCAGTTATTTAAAAGCAAAAAAAGCAAAGCTAGTAAAGCTTTGTAATTCATCCCCACCGACAGGACCCAGCTCTCTGGCTCTAAATGCCTTGTTCTTTCTTGCCAAGCTACGTCCATCTCCCCTCCCTTCCGCCCTCCCCCTCCTTTCCCGTCAGGAAGGAATGTCAATAGAACCTTCTTTCATACCGCTTGGAATAAGACTTGCCCTTGGCTCTGCAGGCGTTCCGGGAGGAACGGTATCTCAACGACGCCTGCCAGTGTGGTGACCTGATCTGGCAGCGCGGGCTGCTGAGGAAGGGGTACGGGCTGTGCCATGGCACTGCGGGGAACGCCTATGCCTTTCTCACGCTCTATAACCTCACGCAGGACAAGAAGTACCTATACAGGGCCTGTAAGGTAGGCATCAGCACTGTCGGAAAGAAAACACCTTCCCCGGGAGACTGTAGCAGGGGCTCTAGTTCAGTCCGATGTGACTCATTTGTCTTTTACACCATCATGAGTCTGTGGAACACCTAAGAAAAGCCTTCCAGAATCATTCCATTGAATTCGCCTTCTTGTGTAAGGACACAGTTCTACTCAACAGCATTTAGGAGGGGACGAAAGAAACGAGTTCTGCTTTCATGACCTGGGAGACAGTCGCTCGGGTAGCGCATCACATTCCTCTCTCCTTCGCTTCCTCCTCTTTCAGACCATCTGTTTCTCCGTATCAGCCCCTTTTTCCTGCCTTGAAGATACTTGGCAAAGTAATTCTTAGGGATAATCTCTGTCCACATTTGGGGTTCTCTGGAAGGAGTCACTAGAGTAACTTACCTTGGTCTCACTTTCAGTTTGCTGAGTGGTGCTTAGATTACGGAGAACATGGTTGCAGGACGCCGGACACCCCCTTCTCCCTCTTCGAAGGTATTTTCCACACGTTTACTTAGTTGCCTTGTAATGTCAGCATCTCCTTCTCTGCTTGGTAATCAATGAATTTGAATTTGAGCTTTATCAACAAATTAATTTTATAATCATGTCTTGAACTACTTCTTTCCTTCATTAATATGAAAACTCAATATTAAAATCAAGTAGTACATGGACTCTGTCAGACCTAATACCAGTGGTCGTAATGATGACCACCATCTGTGGAGCCAAGCACACGCTTGGCATTTTGCAGATGCCGTCGTAAATCATGTCAGCAAAAACACACACGCATCATGGTCCTTATGTCACAAATGAGGGCACTGACGCTCCGACAGGTAAGTGGGCCGTGGTGCCACGTGAAAGACCTGACATATGATAAATGGCAGGGCTGCGCCTTGAACTTCTCTGGTTCAACTCTCCTTCCTGTCTTCCGCCCGGACAGAGAGACTGAGCACACTAGTGATCTAGTGTTGACCTGCAACATATATAAATCCAGGCAGACGCCCCTTGCGTTGAAACCCTTGCCATTAGTATCATAATGCTGTTGATGCTACAGAATGAAGCCACTGTATAAAATGAACTCATTGGTGTAATAACTTCTGCCTCTTTTGCTTCCTTCAGGAATGGCTGGAACAATCTATTTCCTGGCTGACCTCCTCGTGCCCACAAAAGCCAGGTTCCCTGCGTTTGAGCTATAAAAGGAAAGCCTGCCCCCTGCAACTCACTGCATGACCCTTTCTGTATATCAGCCCTGGCCTGAGTGCTTCCATTGCTTTTCAAGGAAACAGAGTCAAACCATGTACTCCATTTACTTGATTTTTTTTTTTTTTTAGAACTTGTCTTCAGTTCCTTTTGTCTGTCATTTACTTTTACTTAAAAGTATCCAAGGAAATGTTTTAACTTTAACCTCAATTTCTTCCTAAAGGTAGGATGAGTGTTATGTACAGTGTTTTGAGGGCATAGGGATATATATTTTTCAGAACTTAGAGGAAATCTCTTACTTAAGCTTGTTGAATATAACTATCTGTTGCTGTTCAAAAAATGTTTAAAGGAAACTAAATGTAGATAAAGATAAATATATGGTTATTGGCGGGTATTGCCCTCTACCTTTATAGTATTTTTCCTCCAGTAGTGCAGACAGTTTTGGCACTGTTTTTCTTTAGGTGGTTCATTGTGAAGGGGAACAAAAATATTAATTGTATGCTTCTGAGACAAAAGTTGCAAGAGTTGCAGACTGGTTTAAGGACCTAAATACTGTTTTTCAAATTCACAGTACTGGTTTAACTAGCGATAAAGATACTTTCAGATCTGCTTCCTCTTGGTAGTAAAGCATCCAGGTTCTGTAAGGCAACATTTTTATCAAAAAGTTCTAAAATGCTGTGGTGGTTTTGAAAATTCTGATTTGAAGGTTAGTTTCAAGATAAGCTAACAAAAAGTTTATTAATAGTTTTTTTCTAAAAGAAGCGAGTGTATTTTTAAAGTTTGTTTGTTCTTTGGAATTAGTGTAAGATCAGGAGACGAGTTTCCTGTTCGTGAATGTGTTATGACTTGGGGTTTCAAACAGTCCACCCTGTCCACCCGACCTTCTAAACTTTGACTCGTGCTTTACTTCCTTGGCAATGACTGTGCTTTCAGTGCTTGCTGTTTGGTACAAACCATAAGATATTTTCCTTCCTTTCAGTCTATCTCGATGTTTGTTTTTTTCACTAAATAGTACAGTGCTCTACTTCTCTTTTAAAGGCGGAAGGAGGGCTACGTAGCCAATAACTTGAGCCAAAACACTAAGCTTTCCGTAGAAACGCTGTTTACTTAGGAGGTGTTAGCCAGTGTAAATGTTTAGAACAAATAGATCCTATCTCTCTGCCTATCCTAGGCTTAATTTAACTTCCCTCAGTTTCTGAGCCCTCGGGCTCCGGTGTTCATATGGTAGTTGAAGGACCCCTGGCGCTTCGCATTCTGTATAAATGTCCGGCTCATCAGCTTGCCCTCCGCTTCCTTCCTTCGCTCTCTTTCCCAGGCTGGTTTCATCCTTTCTATTTCAGCTGATTTTAGAACATTTTACAGCTTTGCAAAACAGGGTCTAAGAATTTTAAATGTGCCTATTTCATGGCTTTCTCGGTCTCAAAAGCATGCTATTTTTATTTTAACTTTGAACCAAATCCCATTGGGTATATGTTGGTTCCTATGGATAATAGTCCCCTATTATTTCACAATCAGCACCAAAATAGTTTATATTATTGGAAATTGTCTGACCTTTTTTAAGGCTACCAACAGAAGGATCTGAGAAAAACAGCCCACTGCTCAGTTCCTAGGATCAGCTTATTCCTCTGTGACTCAGTTGGGCAAACCTTGTGCCTCTCAGATGTCGGAAGTGCTGGTCAGCTGTGCCTTTCTTCCAGACATTTCCGATGAGCAGTGGTGACATTTATAGTAAAGCTAATTTGCCTTGGGCTGGGTGTCCAACATGAAAGAATAAAACCCATGTAGTTTAGTTAAGTGTCTTACTATGCTGTGCCTGTACTTTTAGCTACTATAATTACTAACCGGGGAAAGAGGCAAAACACCCTTTCTCCTAGCCAGAGGAAACTTAATCACAGTGCATCTCCAAACATCGTGATTAATTGAACCCAGGGAAGACTTCAAGGCAGCAAGAACAACATTTTGAATAAGATTCTTGTTAATACTTACATTGCAATTTAACTACTGCCACCCATCAATTAACAAATTCATCAATACAAACACAATTAACGTTTCATTTTTTTATTCAGCTTTTTAGGACTTACTAAACTGGCAGGGTTTTCTGTTCATGCCATTGTTTTCTTTATAGTTTAAGAGGTAAGAAGATTTGATAGGCTTTTAAACTCAAGCAAAAGCTATAAAATTAAGACCAGTTCCCTAACACCATGGTGGAAACTGAGAAACTTTTGTCAGCTTTCTTAGTTTTAAAAGGAAGTGGCATCATTGCAGTTATAGTTCTGTTATATCATTTTCCCTCAGCTATTTTCATCTTCTTCTTCTTCTTCTTTTTTTTTTTTATTAAAAAAACCTTCGCAAAAGTTGCTTCCCCCAAAAACTCCTATCTCTTCTCTCCCCATGCAAAGACTAGGAGTAAAACCTTAGAAGTTTGTGAGCCGTGGTCATCTATCCCGCCATGTGTTTCTGTTCCCGTAGTGAGGACGCATTACAGAAGTTAACTTTTCATCATGTAAATAGTGTGAACGTTATCTCAGCCATTTCCATCTATCCCATTGGGCTTTGCGCTTTCATCCTTAGAGTGACTGGTTTCCTTTTCATCTTTGATGTCAGTTCTGATTATTTGACATCAAAAGCCTTCGTGGTAGGAAGAGTAGGAGGTAAAAGTGGGTCCATGACCACTCTATCTTCTCATTGCCACCTCCCTGCATGACTGAGTTGAGAGACATACTCTGCTGCCATGTCCCCAGGTTCATTTATGTCTGATCGTACAGTGCCCTGCCTTCTGCTAGCTGATCTGAAATACAGAATGTGAAGAGTGAACATTTATTCATCTACTCCTTTGGCTGCTGGAACTGATCTGCAGTCCTCTATTACTCATACTGATTTCTGATTCCACTTCTGCTTCCCCTAAATAGGTCAGAGCCTCCCATTCGCCTATTGCTGAGCTGTAGAAAGAACTGTTTCCCTCCTGTAGGTATAAACAGAGTGTTGGGGATATTCAGGGAACCCACCCCCACATTATATTGCCATTTAGTGGGAAGGGTTGGGATCATAAGTATTTCTATGTTCTGCAAAGGAGTTCACTTAGTGGTTCTCAATAAAATTTTGTTAGGACTCTATGTGTCATGTTCTTTCTGTTTGCTTTGTTTTAAACTTAAGAAATATTTTCCTTTTATGGTAGATGGGGGCTTTTTCTCTATACTCTCATTCCCTGGGGTTTGTTTCCGGCTTTTTCTTCACTGTTTTGTCAAATAAGATTTGCATTACTTTCTGAAAAGATTCTATAGGGAAATATTTTTAAGTCTGATTATGATGGAACCAGGAGGAATCTACTAGGATCCAAACAAAGCAGTATGTTAACCATCTCATACATAGGAGAATCCACCCTGTGGTTAATAACTACAGGCCTACTTCTAGAAATTTCCCTGCTGACCAATTCTGAAAGGAACTTTGAATAGAAGACATTAAATAAGGAATAATTATAAAATGTATATTCAGAGGTTGGAGAGTTCTGCTGAATCACCTGACAGGACTTTGTACAACTGTGTCCATGCCACAGCAATGTGGTGTCACTTAGCACAGCAGAGATTTGCCAAATTATAAAATACTTCTTTTCATCCCGGAATTAGATTTTGTCCTCTGGTACATAGGATGAAAACGCCCTTCATACCCCTAGTCTGCTGTTTGAATGACTCATAATAGTAAGGATAAATGCGCAGTTATGTTTATTTCACTCCTTTGAATGAACAAATGTATAGATGGTGGTAATCACAACTTTAGATGCGGGCAGTGAGGCATGGAGAGGACAGTGCCTCACCGAGGCGTCCCAGAGCCTGCAAAGTAATGCCTGGTGCGTTCGCACTAACCTGCCACAGGATTGCATTGCAGTGCGGAAGGCCAGCCAGCGCTGTTGGCTTTACCACTCCCTGGCTCATCCTCCCAATAGGAGGAAAACACTGACAAGCACATATAATTGCACACTTGTGAGCTCATGCACAAATAAACTTGAAGAACTAATTCGTCCCTTGTGATTTACCCCACTATAGTTTGATTTATTTTTTCCTAACTTTACATTAGAAAAGAACTTCGCCTGTCTGCTCCTTATACCCTCTGAATAGAATAATAATTTTTTTCTGTCATTTCTTTTTTCCTAGATCGTTCCCACTGTGGACTCAGTGTCATTAAAATTTTCATGTATTCTCTGTAAGCATCACTGAAACTGAGAAAAACCTGCAAGTCAGTCCCCTAATAATTTGCTTTCTTATTCTGTTTCCCATCCACACTCCCCCTTTTCCTTCCAAAGCCGAGGGCCAATTAACAAAGCAAGAGAACACTGGCTTTTTTTTTTTACAACGGAGGGCATATTGGCTTCATTGGTCCCATTATGTAAACTATTGAAACACCATTTTCCAGAAACCCGGTGCTTGTGCATCCTCAGGGACTTACCTGACAATTTCCTGAGTAATGGGAGAAAGCAGCAAACACAATAAACCAGGAGGTGAAATAATGAGGAAAAAAAAAAAATGGATCTCAGCAGGACCACTGCGCATAGTCCCCCAGTTTAATTTCACATTTCGACATTATGTTAACTTCTCAGGCACATGCCAATGACAACCATGGTGACATTAAATCTGCAGCTAATGTTCTATCTACAAATACATGTTTGAGAAAGCATTTGTGAGGCATTTAGTCATTACGCAGGGAAAGGCGGGACTCTTGACATCATTTTATAAAGTAGTGTCACAGTTGCCTAATTTCTCTTCTCTGATGGAGCTGGGATATTAAGAAAGGCATCTGTAACCCCAAAAATACTGATGGGACTAGCTGTGAAAGTTGATGGTTAATACCAATCTCTCAGGATTTAGCACTGAGGGATTAACATGGCTACCTCCTTGCTGGCATAATTCAAACTGGTAGCACTGTTGATACACTACAAACATGCCATTTCATTTAAACTTGCAATGAGCAAAGCTTTAAAACCGTCTTACCCCCAAATGCATTAAATGCCTCTGTCTGCATGCAGGGTCCCTGGCAGGGGCTTTCCGTGTGCATAGGAGACACCCCTACTCTGATGACTCAGTCTGGTTAGAAAGAAGGAGACAAACAATTACAAGGAAATGTATTCGAATATTTCTGTTCATCCCGGACTACTCTTTCGTGTTCCACCAGTTTCAAGAATAACCAGGTCTTTTGTGTGAACTATGTATCTGGTTATTTGGAGATACTGGAGTTGATAATCCTGCAGGGGAGAAGACACTTTAAAAGCCACTCAGGCAGTCCAGAAACACTCAAGAGTTCTTTCATTTGGATCACCCTGATGATGGGTGGGTGGAGGGAAATTTGGGGACATAAAGTCATCTGCCCCCAAAATTACTTTCACTCAGCTGACTTAAAAACTCCCAGCACAAGCATTATTAATGACTTAGATTAGATCTATGTCCTTCCAGAATCCAGTTAAAATGCAAAAACGTTCAAAAAGGAAGTTCTTCAACCTATTAGTCATTAGTACCTTAGTACTAGGTTCATAACCTGTGCAGCAATTAATTTGAAGAACTTCAAACAATATTAATTATGCTACTAACGTATGTTAGGTCCAGCGTCTAGCTAGGATTTGAAAGCTAATATGATACCTGCTCACAAAAGACAGCTTAAACCTGGAGATAAATATAAAAAAGTAATTTCAACATGATAAGAAACCTCACCAGGACTGCCTTTCCACGAGTGATGGGGGCGGGGGTGTGCAGATAGGAAAGTAGAAATACAG